ATATTTTTTCTTCTCCTTCAAGACCAAAAAGGCTCCGTATGAAATACAACTTCAAAACATTACTTGGTCAATCCACTTTTGCTTACTCATCCAGGCATACTACTTTTGTATTACTATTCACAAATTGGACCAATTAGAATTGACTCATGTAACAGGGACCCCATGATATTTTATATTCGACTTCGGGACAAACAATTTTTTTGAAAAAAGTAATGCAGTAACCAACAGATTTGAATGAATATGTTAACTAGAAAGTCTAGTATACTTCCTGTGCTTCAGTCTGTCAAAGAATAATTACTTATCCCAAATAAATTACTTGTATGTGGAAGTTACATTTAAGTCTTGATTCATCTGATAGTATAAGTTTAACATAAATTTGGATGATTAACACCACAAACTAGAGAAAACAGCTCAGCTGGTCAGCATAGACTTATGGCATGTTACTGTCCAACATAATAGGTCCTGGATGCTAATGGGTAGCATGCTAGCTTAGTTGAGGTTCAAGCCACAGTCATTGGAAGGATATTTGAAAAGGATACAATTCATTCTCTCATAATTTTCATTTAGTTGTGGGGAACAATAAGTGCGTATAATCTATTGCTGATTGATGAACTTTCTTCTTTATTATATTTCATTTTAAAAATACCATAAAAGATGTAACTGACTCTTCCAGAATTACAGAACTTTCTTGTGTAAATCCTGTTCTAATTGGTTGACTGATGAACCATCCAAAATGATTTGGAAAGATAAACTGCCTTGCATTTGCTTAAATAATTGTTTAAGGATTAATAATTGTTCTAATATTCAACACAGGAAACTTAATGTTTGCACATCGCCTTCTTGGCATATTATGAGCAAGGAAACAGTTAAGAATATTGAACATCAATTCCTCTATCATCCAGTTGCACTGATGACATAAGCAAACACAAGGTTAGTTAAGCTTGGTCAATCCCGCTTCTTGTGTTTCTCTACTAATTGAGAATTTTTATGCTTAGAAATAAGTTTTGCAACCTATATTTAGGATATTTCTAGTGAGATAGGGAATGCACTTTTAAACTTCATTTTGGGTATTCTAAAAAATTTAAAAATAAGACCATTTCCCTTTATTTATGCAAATTGGGAAGCAGTTGTTTCTGGATACTTTTGTGCTTTTGCACATGTATATGTTGTATTAGCTCTAAGCCCATTATCTGGCCAATATACTTAATTACTGTACATTTCATAGACTACTCATTCACCATTGTTGCACTTACTTAAACACAAAGTTGTTCTGTTATTTATCCCTTAAAATAAATAAATGAATGAATGCACAAAATTCAATCTTTCACTTACAGATGCACTGCATTCATGGTTTTAGCTCCTCTTTGGAGGGTTATCTCATAGGTACGATCACAAAGGTCTTGCAAAAATAACTCCAATGCTTTAGCTGCATAATATGCAACAAGAGAAGTATAAGCAACAAAAATAAAAATAAAAGAACCTACCATACTACTATCTTACTAGCGTAAGAAAGTCAGAAGTACTCACAAACTAAAACAGGCACCGCTAATGCTATCTTCCCAACATCCTCATCAGCTTGCATAATCTTTTTAATACGAGCCTGCCAAATTAAAATTTTGTATCAGAATAGGCTATACTAAACGTCTCAGTGGTTAGAAGGGATGAGATACATGTAAAACTTTAAAACTCAGCTACAGTTAAACAACTAAACATCATTTCTTCTAATCAGAAGCACAAGGCAAATATATCTTTGCTTAGTGCTTGAATGGCACAAGGGAGTAACATACTTAAGGACAAGACAAGGAATTCTCTAGAAATCAGTGCATTCATACACAGCCTCTCTTGGGGTAAAGGACAAGTGCTATCAAAGAAATCCACTTGGAATCGAAATAGGAAACTCCCACACTTGATGCAAATATGATAACCATAAGACACCCAGGGGAAAAAAAGAATATTTTCTACACAACAAACTCAACAAATATGATATAACCATACGCAGAAAGATTTTGTTTTTGAAGATACAAAGTAATTTTGTGATCATAAGGATTATCTATAGGGGAGAGAGGCAGCGTTTGACAACAAAAGAAAATCGTATCCAAATAAGAGAAACTATAAAATACCAAAACAACACACAACAGCACTCCATAAACTACCAAATTGTATGTCGCGCATTGTAAATTTCAATCACGAAGTTATCAATGCATAACTCAAATTTTCAAGAAAAAAGTGTTTCTTGAATTCCTTCTTTCCTATTTTTCTTTTTGAAAGTTTCAAAAATAAGGTCCACAACTCTCACACACCTAGGGCAACACCTCACAGAGCTATTCTCTGAAATCCAGTGTAGCATATGGATCACTAAGTAGCTGAGGAAGCGCAAACTCAACTTTTTTTCCTTTTTATTTCAACACAAGAGATAAAACTCTCAAATGATTTTACAATCTTAAAAAATAATCCAAGTACTCATGTGAAAATAATATTTAAGATAACCAGATCAGATTTTACCCTAGGGGCTTTACAAGTCATTCACTTATCACTCATCTTGACCAAAATACAAAACCACAACACCATATGAGCAAAGAAGCATGTGTATCCCCATAAAATTCCCATCATTTAAGTACCAATTTATTTACTTTAACACGAGGCAAAATCATCGATAAAGAATAAAATCCCTAAACCAAACCAAATCACCCAAAACAAAACAAAAATCCTAATTCTACCTAAAATCACAATCACAGCAAATAAAAAGAAAATACAGTCTGAAGAAATCCAACCCAGATCAAATATCTCAGAAATCCCCAAAAGATTGAAACTTTAACCTAATAATTCTAATCAACGAAACATGCTTTATTCCTCTAGCTAAGAAAACGCACGATAAGCAAAAAGAAACAGCTAAAAAGGTTTCTCCTTTTCCCCATTTTCCTAGCAACCAAACAAATTAAAACTCAATCGAAAGAAAACCCCTAAAAAAAA